AAACAGATGAATGTATAGGAATTACTAATTCATTTTGCACATGATAAACAAATATAGGACATCTCCCATTCGTAATTGAATTATAGTGAAACTACTACTTAATGATGTCAAATTAATATATTTTTTCCCACATTCTGTCAATGACTAATGTTTAATTCACATGGACATGTTATGTTTTTAGTTTTCATATTCTTATTTTTAACATTGTATCTTTTCTATCAATGTAGGTTTCTAAGCGTAGTAATTAATAATGTCAAAAGGGAAAGACAAGGAATTTAATACAACAAGGTGCCTTCAAAAATAACTAAAATCCAGTACAGAAAAAAAACAGATATATAAGAGATATCAAAGGTCACTAATTATTACCCAATGAAACTACTAGTCTCCACCAAAAAAAAAAAAAAAACCTACAATAATTGATAATGACACACTAAATAGATGCAGAAGATATTTGTGTTGGTTCTGTTGTCCTAGCAAGTAGAATATAGTCACATGGCTTTTGTTATAGAAACCGGAGGGTTATTACATAGTAACAGTGATTGCCAAATAGAAATTTAGTTCTATCTGCTCCAAACCAATACATATTGCCCTTTCTGCAGTAATGCCAGCAGGTTCTACATCCTCTTCTCCAGTAAGTTCATTTGACATTTTGTTAGTGAAGGGCACTGAGAGAAAGGACTCCTCTCCCTGGTTTCATGCTGTTTTCTCTCCTGTGGCCCCAGTGCTGTGGCTGACATCTGCATGCATGCAGGAAGTTCTGGTGGTATTCACCCTCCAACAAGTTTCTGGGACTAGTCACAGCCATAGCTCCCCTTCTCCAGCCTAGATGTTAACACTTTGGCAGAGAGGCCTTCCTAGTTGCCAGTCACACTGTGACTCACTCATATCAGCCTGCAGACTGAGAACTGCTCTCTCCTAGAGCCATCCAGTGAACGTGTCTGCCATAGAGTTTTCTGTAGTGGCATGAGTCTGAAACCCATTGCTGAAAAGATTGCCTTGGGTCCTATATGATTCTCCCTCTTGGTAATCTTTTTTAATTAACCCTTTGGTCCATTTTGTAATTTTCTTCTACCCCTCTCTGTAGGGTATCCCCCTAAAATACTTAATAATTCTTTAAATCATTCCCAGTTTCTCTCTCCTGACTCCACTTCCTTACACACCTTTGATATCCTGATATGTTCAGTCCTCATTTTCAACATTCAAAGGCTGGGGAAAATTATATTCAAGATGTGTCTACAATTATTCATGTTAATTTAGACTTAGAAGTAACAATATTTGATATTACAATTCATAATTTATACTTGATTTATTTTAATAACAATATTTTAAAATGTTTAATATGCACTTGGATATACATTTTTAAAAGTTAACATAAATGTAGATATCAAAACAATTCTATAATACCAAGGATGAAGTGTCACATAAAGTATGAACTTTAAGTGACCATGATGTGTCAGTACAGACTCACTCTCAGTAACAAACATCGCACTCTCCTGAGTGATGCTGATAATGGGAATGCTCTGCATGCAAGGGAACATGGGAAATGTCAGTAAGTTCCTTTTATTTTTGTGGTGAAACTAAAGCTGGTCTCAAAATAATTCTTAGAGCTTAATTTCCCAAAAATAATTGCAGCATTCTTCAAGAAACTAGAAATGTGTTCTTTAGGGATGGTGAGAGGAACATTATACCAAACTTAGGAGAGCTAATGTGACTGGTGCTTACAAATATATATTCTGTTTTCTACACAGGACTCCGAATAGAAGTTGTGTGATTGAAAATTCCAATATACACAATTCTTGTCCAACTCTGAAGTTTTTGCAAATCTGAAATGCATAGAAAATCAATAATTTAATCTGATGATATATAACTTAATATTTAAACAAACAAATATGTACAGTAATATTTACACAGTAAATCTGAATATTTCTTAAAATGTTTCTAAAAAAACTTAAATATTTCCTCACATACTTGTTTACCCATTGCCTTTTGTTTCTAAGATTAATTCCTGATTTGAAAGCATGAAGGAATAAATATGTGAGTTCTAAAGAAACTTACAGATCAGAAGAGAGAGTTGTGCCAATTGTCCACACCCAAGAATTAGTATTATTTCTCTGGGACAGTCCAGTCCATGGATGTATTTTGAAAATGTTCAAAAAATTCTATGAGGAAACAAATATTATGAGAAATTAAATAAAATTAATTTGTATTTGTAAAAACAAAAAAAGTTGGCTCCCAGTTAGAGGGGGAGGTGACAGCTAAATAAACTACACAGCCCACCAACATCTGATGACATTAGTGAATAAGCAATAAACCACATTCTGCCACCCAGGAATTCTTGGTCACCCCACCTAGCTGGCTGAGCACATCCAACACCCAAAGATCACACGACCTTGTGTGAAAAAATTAAGGACCCTGTCTCGACATGGAACACCTCAAGATTCACCTGATTTGAGGCAACAGCTCCAGCAGAACCAACAATATTCTAAACAACTGGCCAAAGAAACAGGTAAGTCCATGAAACTGTCCATATCTCCTCCTACCACCCTCAGTGAACAGCATGGAAGGAAAATACATGTTATTTCTTAAAGGCTGAATTCACAACATCACTGACCAGCTCTCCAAAGGCCAGCAGCTGAGAAAGGCAAAGAGTGTTTTGCATGAGTTGAGGGCCTGTGCCAAAGCATCTGGTGGAATTCCTGAGGAGAGCTCAAAGAAAGGAATCTTGTGTTCTAGAAAAGCCAAACTCACCCGCAAGGTCAGGTGCAGGATGAAGGAATTACAGAAGGTGACCCCCAACTTATTCATGAAAGAGTCTTCTCTTAGACAACTGTAAGCTGATATTATGGATATTATATACTTTTCAAATATTTGGGAATGATAATTCATGACCAAAGAGGTGTGATGGCATTGAGCCAAAGCTGGAAATGCAGGGGTGCATGTGCAACAAGCCAACCAGCAACCATCAAGGGCCGCAGAATATCAGAAAGAGAACCCTTCATGTTGCTATAAGATATGCAAGACTTTTAAGAAAACTACAAATCTACAACTGCGCTACAATGGGAGAATAAAACAAAAGTGTACACCTTTATTTTTTATTTTATTTATATATTAATGATTCAATTTATTTATTTTCAGAGAGAGAGGAAGAGAGGGAGAAAGACAGGGAAACATCAATTGGTTGCCTCTCCTATTCTGGATCCCGGACTCATTCAGCAACACAGGCACCTGCCCTGACTGGGAATTGAACCAGTGACATTTCCCTTTATGGAATGATGTCCAACCTATGGATCAACCTACCCACACCAGTCAGGGCAGCCTTTACATTTTAAATGACTCTATTATAATTCTTTTACCTCTGGTTTTATTCCTATGTTGAGAATTTGAATGCAGGTTTTGTTAATATTAAACAATGAGAATGATTTTGTACACTAATAAATTGGCCATATAAAAGTGGGACAATGATATTTTCAGAGAACTTATTTTGAAAAGCAACTTTAAAAATGTTTTTTCTTTACTGTTCACATTCAATATTTTTGGACCTGTGTATGCCTTGAAAGGTGATCACCCCAATGGATCTGGGGCCCATCTGACACCATGAATAATTTTTAGAATATTCTTGACTATATTCTCCATGTTGTGCTTTGCAATGTTTTAACTGGTTTTATAAGAGGAAATTTACAAAAGAACTTTTTGATAAAAGCTTCAAAATGTATAAGCTATTAAGCTACTCTTAATTTTCATACATAAGTAACCATTTTTCACCATTCTTTATTTAAAATAATAGATGTATGTCAATTAACTCACTTTTCTTTTTAAATCAATGTTATTTTTTTATTCATTACTTTATTTCTATTGATATGAGAGAGAGAGAGAGAAAGAGAGAGAGAGAGAGAGAGAGAGAGAGAACAATCATTTAGTCCACTTAGTGTGGCATTCCTTGGGAGCTTCTTGTGTTTGCATGATGGGGCATCAACCAGCAATTGGCCTGTAGTCTGATGATGCTCTAAACAGTGGACCTACTGTAACTGAGCCTATACCAATGTAGTTTTAACATTCCAATCAGAATAGAGAAAGAGAATTATATAGGTTATAGTTTGTATTTTATAGTGTTCTTATATACCAGTTTGAAAAAGGCAATGTTGTATATGGCAATCTATGAGACTTCACATGGAATTAAATAAAATATTAAGTAACTAAATTGTATATTTGCAACATAAATAAAGATGTTTTTAAAAATGAAAAGCCAAATACAGTTATTTTTCTAGGTTAGAGTGATTCAATTTATAATATACTTTTATATGTTGGACACATCAAGAAAATGCACTAGCATAATTAGGTGAAGGGACAGATATAACAATTTCATACCTCTGAAATTTGAGCAAAGAGTAAAAATAACATGAGCATTTATTATTGGAAAAAGCAGCTAGAAATTCCAGTAAAAATAGAGTAAATTTGTAGTCTTCATGTCTAAGACTGCTCCCGAGTCTCCATCTCAGTTCCTGAGTAAGAAGTGTAATTCTTACTGTTTGGGGAATGCTGAAACATCACTGGTATTGCCACAGGGGATGTCTGATTACCTTGGAACTAGTGGTTAAACTGCCCACTCTTTTTTCAGGTCAAAGTGCTGAATTCACTAAGTTAAAAGTGAGGAAGACCATCCTTTTTCTGGTCTGTGTCAGCACAGTGCCAGCTACAAACAGGAAGGTACTCAATGTGAGAGCACAGTACAAGAGGTGATATTAACTCTCTATACCTACTTGGTTGGTGGGGAAAAAATATTTGCACTGTGTAAAAGAAACAAAGATAATCTGGTAAAAAATAGGTCAAAGTATATTCAAGAACTGATTTTAAAATTGTGAGTACTCCCTTACAAACACACACACAGGCAAGTACATGAAGTAGCAGAGGGTGGAGCCATAGTGGCTTGAGGTGTTTGAATAAATTTTAAAAAATCTTTGGTTGTCAAGTAAGCTATGCAGGCCCAAGAGGAATTACAGTAATTAAGCCTAAAAATAAAATAATGACAAGAATTTTACTTTTTTATTTTATAAGGTTTTATTTTTTAACATTTTTCTATTTTAATTGTTGCTCAAGTACAGTGTTGTTTTTTAAGATTTTATTTATTTATTTTTAGAAAGGGAAGCGGGCGAGATAGAGAGAGAGAGAAACATCAATGTGTGGTTGCTGGGAGTCATGGCCTGCAACCCAGGCAAGTACCCTGACTGGGAATTGAACCTGTGACACTTTGGTTCTCAGCCCATGCTCAGTCCACTGAGCTAAGCCAGCCAGGACCACAGTGTTTTTTAAAAACTGAGTAAGCACACTTCAAAAGAGATGATTCTACAGTAAAAGTTTACTGAAGTTACAAAAGTATAAATCAAATAAGCATGTAGGAGGATCCATGTTTATTATAATATATTATTAAAAATGTAGACTTAGCTAAATTTTAACCATGCAAAGAAACTAAAAAATATCTTCCATACTCAGGGGTATAAATCAGTCATACAAAATAACTTTCACTGGGATAAGATGCTGGATTTTTTATACAAATATTTAATGCTAGTTATTACAAATATATATATACATAAAATATATTTTTAAAACTATGGTCAAGTAACTCTATGGAAATATGATGGCAGTGACAGAACAATTAATAAAATAAAAACTCTATGAATGAATTAAATAAAATTATCAGTTGAAAAATCATTATCTACAATACAAAATTCAATACATTTACATAAATGTTGAGATATAGAAGAAAGAATTCATGAAATAAAGATGGAGTGACAGAAATAATTAATTCCTGAAGGTAGAGAGAAAGAGATAGAAAAACTAGTGGAGCCTCAGAGACCTTCACAGAACTTTATCAGTAACACGGACTTAGGTGTAATTATTGCCCATGAACAAAAAGAAAGAGAAAAGAAGAGAGAAAAACAATTTTTGAGACACAATGAATGATCATCTTCTTAAATTTTATGTTAAAATATATAGACTCGTGTATAAAGTTCTTTATGTAGAAAAAAATCATTTGCTATAAATTATGCTGTATCAACTAGGTAATGATGTAGAAAAGTGTGAACTTGACCTCTACACACAGCATCATAAATACAGTATCAAAAAAATATAAATTCTCAAAATATTTAAACCTAAAACTAAAAGTTCATCAATAAAGAAAAAAGATAAACCATAAAGAGTAATTCAGTAGATTATCTTCATGAACTTTGACCAACTTGTGAAATATGTCCAAAATAACCACCAATACCCAAAATGAGATATTGGACTATGGTAAGTTTGATATCCTGGCCATTAAAAAACTCCAATATGAGAAGAAAAATGTAATTAACAGTCAAGAAAGACATTTTCATCTCACAAATTCAAAAAGGAGTCATATCCAAAATATAACTACTTCTAAGAATGAAAATTACAGGTAACATACAGGAGAAATGGTCAAGAGTCATGAGTGGGCACATCTCATTCTCACAGTACAGAAATTCATAATGAATGGTGCTCTGAGAGATGTGTTCAGTTGATCAGTATGAGGAAAATACCCATCAGTGTCATAATGATGCTTTTATATAATGATCAGAACTGATGGCAGTAAAATTTCTGGCAGTACTAAGCTTTGGATTATGAAACTATTGGATATAATGTGTATTATTACAACACACTAAAAATAGAAATAATTTACATACACATATATTTTTGATCCTGCAATTTCAATCCGATGCAAAACAGCAATACATTTCAATTATACACAAATACCATTATAACTATACTTACAAATTATGCAGCTAATCATTTTATATGTTATATGTATTATTGTGTATCAATTATTTTAAATATATATTATTTGGAAAAAAGAAATACACAAGAATTTTTATGAAATAATTATTCTTAACAACCACATGTTAAAACCATCTCTATTCTGAGTACAATAGATAAAGAATGCCTGGGATATACAATACAGCAGTGAAAATTAACAAACTTCAGGTACATTCAATAATGTGGATTAATTGAAAACTATCATGAGTGAATTAACGGAGACATGTAAAATACATAATGAATAATTCTCATTACATAAAATTCAAAATTAAGAAAGATAATTTGTGATACAAAATCTCAGAATAGTGCTTAAGTGAGAAGAGAGGAGAAGTTGTGAAAGAGTGCACAGGAGCGGGCTGTCAGCACATATTTCCTGGCCAATTTCAGTCTATAACACGCACAATCATGTCTATAGTCTCCATGACACATGGTACAATGAAGTAGCAAAGTTTAGAGAAGAAGCACTTATAGAAACCTTATTGTCTATGAAAATCAAGAACAGCAAATTATCAAATGTACATTAGTGGTATAAAATATAAATCAAATATTATAGAGTCAAATAATAAAATACTAACAATCTTTAAAATAAATTACAGATATATACAAAAGTATGAATGAATTCTATAAAAATATAAAAGAAAATACTCTTTTAAATAAAATGTTGGAAACATTAAACATCTTACCATTTCTTCTTCATTATCTATGTAGAGCAGGCTAGAATTCCTAGAAGCACAGGCCTTTAAACTCTCATTCCATGTTTTTTTTTCAATGCTGATGTAATAGCAGTTGTTGGAGTACATTAACCACTCTGGTGGACATCGACCACAATGATATGCTGAGGAAAGATTATGTATTGTTATCCAAGAACAATATGAATTTTAAAATGAAAATTAATTTCAGTATTTGCATAGGTAGAGACAAATTAGTGCACAGTATATGTATATACCCTCACAGACTGGCATATATAAAGCATAATACACTCATACACACTCACACACACACACAGAAGTGAGTTCTCTGTGATTCCCTCATTCCCTAATTTATATGCCCATATTAAGCAAACACACAGACAAAAATATCCACTTTCTAATGTCCTGAATGTCAATGAATGAAACCACATTTTTAGAAACCAAAATTATCTTTTAAACAATTGGCAACAATGAGTATGATAAATTAAATGAATATTTCTTCATATTTTTGCATTAAGAACTATACTCTTCTATACTCATTATTTATATATATTTATGTCTGGTATCATAATTTATGTTCCTCCCCACCAAAAGAAACTATAAATTTTGACTGCATTAGAGACAAGGTAGGAACTGTATTGATATGGGAACATAGAAAATAATTAGGTACCTTTCTGGTTCCCTGTTGTACGGTTCCCTGTCCAGTTCTCTGCTGTAACTGTCTGGCTCCCTGTGAAAATAATATATAATTTATATTATGTACATGAAAGAAGAATTATTCTGCACCAGTATTACATTAGCTAGAAAAAGATGTAATTATAAAAAAGTAATGCTGATCTACATAAATCACAATACTTTTGTTTTTTACTTCCAAATGTGGTATATTGTCCAGGATTAAAATGACTTGGAATAAAATTGATTTATCAAGAAAAATTAATGAAGCCATAATAATTTGGGAAAAAACATTTCAAAACCTTTGAGAAACAAACTTCACCAATTCTTACACTATTTGGACTAATCAATATGATTTGTATTTGTCAATAAGGTGTCCTAAAGCATGTTTTGAATTATAACACAAGAACATCTATGGATATATGGGATATATAAGTATATATATATAAACTACTTTTTTAAAATTTCTATTTATTATTTATTTATTGACTGTTGTTTAAGTACCATTCTCTCCATTTTCACCCCACCTAGGCCACCCATCTCACCCATTCTCACCTCCCACCTTCAAACTTACCCCTTTGGCTTTGTCCATGTGCCCTTTATACCTGTTCCTTGATGGCCTTCCCCTATTCTCCACCATTATCCCTCTCCCCTCCAGTTACTGTCAGTTTCTTCTTCAGTTCAATGTTTCTGGTTATATTTTACTTGCTTGTTTGTTTTATCCATTAGGTCTACTTGTAGATGAGATCATATGGTATTTGTCTTTCACATCCTGGCTTTTTTCACTTAGCATAATGCTCTCCAGTTCCATCCATGCTGTCACAAATGGTAAGAGTTCCTTCTTTCTTTCTGCTGCATAGTATTCCATTGTGTAAATATACTACATTTTCTTTATCACCTCATTTGCTGGTGGCCTTAAGTTAGTTCCAGAACTTGGCTATTGTAAATTGTGTTGCTATGAACATTTGGGAAACTATCTTTGCCAAAGTTATCTTGGACAAAGGTTTGACCTCCAAAGTATATAGAGAATTCACACAACACCACTCCAGTACAACACACAACCCAATTGAAAAATAGGCAAAGGACTTAAATATGCTACTTTTCTAAATAATGCAGTTACTTATAACTTGGACAAATCAGAATAACATTTTTTCACTTACTCTAAAGGCGTACTTTAAAATGAGAGTTGGATTTTCTAATACTATGAAATGTTTGGAGGCACTGATGGAGGCAGTGATGTTAACAGTGAAGCATTTCGTATAATCTTACAATAATTTACTTACATTGATTAACAGCTCTTGTTACCACAGTGGTCATCAGGACAAGGCAGATGACCCCTAGGATCCCAGCAATGAGCTTCTCTGGAAGTGAAGGGGATGCTGCAGGGAGGGAAATGGAAACACTGAGAAAGGAGGGATGGGGACAATTGTTTGGACAGTTTACACACAGGGAATCATGTACATAAACTTGGACCCCAAACCCATATCTACCACTATAATCTTCCTCTCAGAATATACCACTGCATTTTCTCTAAACATAATGCTCTTCAGTTACTTGTCAAAGACTACAACTTACAACAAGGTCGGAATAAAATTATTTCTCAGCTTTTATCTGAGAATACCATATTCCAACTTCAAGTCCTGATCCTTCAGATGAAAAAAATGTGTAAACTTATCCCCTTCTATTACACACACCTCTGCACCCAGCTGCACATCCAAGAATAGTTATACTGTGTCTACTGAATGCTTTACCTCTGCAGTGGCCATTCTTGTCACTCCCTTGAAGATCCTGAGAAACATTTTGAAGATTTAAATCAGCATAGGTTAGTTCCTGCTCAGTTCCTGGAATGGAGCCTTTAGTGCCCTTAGGTTTTATGTGCTGTCTCTTCGGGTTGTTAGCCAGATTCAGTTCTGCATAGGTTACTCTCTGGTCACTCATCTCTGCAGCTGAGTGGTGGCCGAGACTGTGCTCTGCAACATGTGTGCTTACGTACAAGTGACACATACACTGAAGAGATCCCTCACAGTGACACTGGGTGGGGTACAGGGTGAGTTTCAGACTCATTTCCCAGTTAAGAACCTGATGTTGTGCTTATAATTTTTTACATCTTTAACCAATGCCTCATAGTAGATACAATATTTAAGATATTCTATATTTGACAATATATTGTTTGTTTGAGCAATAAAAAGTTATTTGGAAGTGATGAATAAAATCATTTAATAAATAACATCCTGTTTATTTAGTGTCCAATTCCACACAAATATTTTAACACCATTAGAATGCTAATATGAAAAATAAAATGCAATATTAGAAAAAAGAGATACAATATTTATGACAAATTGGAAGTTGAATAATCATTATAGACTGAGTGCCCTGAAAATGAGGCACTAATCATGTTGGCATATCTAGTAATTTTCTGAACTAAATTTTTATTTAGTGACATACATTTATTCATTAAAGAGGATGAGCTGTTATCAAATGATCTATTATGAATAAAAATGTTTCATATGTTAAAAAATCTTTGTCATGTTAAACTTACTCAAGACCTAAACATATTGACAACAAAGTGAAAAATTTTAAACACTTACATTACACAAGAAATTGGTCATTGAGTTAAGGGCAAAGATATAAAAGCATAAAATGTGAAATAAATGTGTAGATCATTTATATTACAATACTGTCATTTCCAACTTCCAGACAGTTCCCATGCATGTTAAACTCAGGGCACCTTTAATTGTGTGAGCCACAGTAATGAATCAGATGGTGTAATTTATTAATTGAGTCAATGTGCTCTGTAGCCAGTGAGTTCCAGAATATATTCTGGCTTTGAAATTGGCAATGTATGACCTTTACAAAGCTACTTAGTGTCTACCAACATAGTTTACTAATATAAAGTGGGAATAAAAACATGTAGACATAATTCATGTAAAATATTTAGTATTTCATCTTTTTTAAGCTCTCCAAAATATTTTAGTTATACAACTATAATTTGAACACATTTTTAATCTTATTTCTGATTCATACCACTTGAATGCTGTAGCTCAATTCTTTAGGCAAAGTGTCTATCAGTGTGGTACCCCCTCTAGCAATGGTGGTTCAATTTTTAAATAGTCTTTTGATTGTTTATAAATAAGATTCAATTAGAATTTTATGAGTGTACTTCATCCTGATTTTTATTGAAAGTCAAATGTATTTATTTAATCTAATTAAGTGCATAAAATGTTATGCTTGACCTCCATAACTAATATAATTTATTTTAAAAATCTCTTTTCAGAAATGGGATAAGTATAAAATAATAAATAATTATACCTATATTGATTATAATAAAAAATAGCTGTTCCTTTTCATATTCTTATACGATTTTTACTTTAAATTATTTTGATTGACACACTCAATTATTCTTGTGTATATACACTTGAGTAATTCTCCACAGGCAAGAATTTGAATAGTTCAAGATATCCTTCAACATATTTCATATTTTATTCTTGACTTTTTACTCTAAATTATTTAAATAAAATACCAACACTCTCTTTGATTTGATTGTATATTAATCATAACTCACTGATATCACATCTTATGTTGTAATCTCCCCCTGCAGGAGATGTGCTAAGACAGAGACAGAAGAGGAGAAACACACACATACCTTCTGAAGGCCAGAAAGTCCTGCATCCTTTAGTGGGAGACCAGCTACCTCTTGTAAACAAACAATCTCTGTGGTCTTCACAGACTGACCTGTGGAGGCTCAGAGTGAGGCATGAGTGGAACAAGCAGATTTGTCAATAATGTGTCACCTAACGTTTGAAGAGGAAATTCTTACACTGGGGCTATTTTGAACAGTGTGTATCTCATCACACACCTCCAGAATCTTGGGCTGTTAGTGTGCATTCAGTTTGTTTTTTTGCCAAATGTATCTGAAATTGTTTTCTGAATCTGAAAGTTATTAGGGGATAAACACTGGACCAATTATGCTATGAACTTACTTCCATCTTCATCACAAACTCTGAAATCTTAGGCCTTGTTAAGAATATCTTGTATGTGTAAATTGTACTCCTAGACAGGGTTATTTAATTTTGGCTTTACATATTTCTCTTCCTTCCTCTTCTGTCTCATTATGGCTTTTCTATTACAATGGAAACAATTTTAAAATCATAATTCCAAAAACAATAGATATTTGATGATACTTGTCAACAATATTCTGAAAAATCACTACATTTTCATTGTTATGGTAACTGTCACAATCACTAATCCCATACTTTTTCTCAATTTCTTGCCTCAGTTCTTAAGATTCCTTCATTCATTTTATTGTTATTAAATGTTATTTAGATTTCCCCTGGTAAAGATAATATCCCTGTGAAAGATAAAACATTAAACAATATTGAACTATATCACCATGGCAGAGATTAAATTGTTTCTTAACTACAAATTATATTTTTGTTGATTCATTTTCAAATCACTACTGATTGTCTATAATTTAATAGGAATATTTGTTTTAAGTGACAAAAGCACAAATCTAACTATGTATGGGGGAAATAAGCTAATTTAATGTTTTTCCTTATTAAAAATGGGAAGAACAGAAAAAGTAGACTTCTGAAAGACAATTTAAATGACACATGAACATCAAAAGAAGCAAAATTTAGCATATTTTTTGATTTGCATATATTGCAAAATGATTATTAGAATAGGTTCAGCCAATATCCACTTTCTCATAGAGTAAGAATTAAAAGAAATAAAGAATACACAGGATATTCAAAGTGTTTGTGTTACCCAACTATTAATTACATAACAGCTGTCTGTGTCAATGGACCAGTGATTTTCAACCTTTCACCTGTCATGGCACAATTAACTAATTACTAAAATTCTGTGGCACACCAAAAAATATTTTTTGCTGATGTGAAAAAATACAGATATAATTCTAATTGACTTATGAAAAATAATAATACTATTACCTACTCTTTTTACTTTAACATGACTTTTTAAAATATCAGGTGCCCATACTTGCATATGATGAGATCTGTTTGAAAAAAGTCCAGCCATTGTTAATGTAATGAGAACGGTGTGCATGACATTGTTGTAACATGGCAGCCAAGCACAGTGGACTGGAATGCACATGTGTGAACAATGACAACTTCACTGTACTATTAAGTGGGGGCAGCAGACTCCACTGATTGAGCATGTATATTATGTGGCTGTCACATTCAAAATGACTGAGGAAGTATAGAGCAATTAACCTACACTAAATTTTGTGATAAGCTTAAATATTCCTCCATGTAAACTACTTGGATGATTCAGAAAGCTTTCAAAGATGATGTAATGTGTACAGTGCAAGCAATCAAGTGTGGCAGAAATGCTTAAATGGAGGTTGAGAGTCTGGTAAAAGTAACCCATGCCCTAGAAAGTCTACAACCAATAAAACACCTGAGAATGTTGAGCATGTAAGGTCTGCAATCAACGAAGATGGGGGACTGACAATGTATGAACAAGCAGCTGATCTGGGGATTCCAAAAACTACTGTGTTTTAGGGTTTTTTTAATTTTAATTGTTGTTCAAGTACAGTTTTCTGTTTTTTACTCCCATCTGAGCCCACCCCCTCATCCCTCCCCACCTCCCTCCCATTTGTACGCCACCCCTAGTTTTTGTCCCTCTGTCCTTTATACTTGTTTCTGTAAACCCTTCCCCTGTTCCTCTGAAATTCCCTCCCCTCTCCCCTCTGGTCTCTGTCAGCCTGTTCTCTATTTCAGTGTGTTTGGTGATATTTTGCTTGTTTGTTTTGTTGTTTAGGTTTCTGTTAAAGGTGAGATCATATGGTATTTGTCTTTCTCCCTTCCTGATCAGCACTCAGTCAGCCTCAGGTATACTCTCCCCAGGGCTAGCCTGGGGCCTCTCCCTGGGCCCTTGGTGTGGGATCCAGGTCTTCCTCAGAGCACACTCTCCCAGGGTTACAAATGTGGGCTCCTGGACCTCTACAGAGCCCACTCTCCCTGGTTTGTGGGCACTTGCACTTGGAAAGGTGGCCTCTGGTCCCACAGGTTCTGGTGCACACTCCTCCCAGTGCTACCGGAATGCATGCATCAGCTTCGGAACTGCCTGACTGGGTGTGGAGGAGGTCTAGCAACTGCTGCAAGAGAATTCCTCAAAGTGTGTCTCTTTTTCACTTTTGTTTTTTGAGAAAATCCTCCTACTCAAGCCTGCCATGCCATACAGTGGTCTGGCCTCTTGGACAGCCAAATTCTCCAGCCAGACTGGGGACTATCTAGTCATGGTCACTTAAGGTCTAACTCTCAACTCTCCCCAGTGGGCATCCACAGTCTCCATGGGTGCTCACAGACCCTGTGTGTTTCCCACTTAGTCCATATTCCCCTCTCTGCAACTTCAAGCAACCAGGTCTCTCCAGGTGTTGCTCAAACCTTGTTTGGCTGGGGAGGGAGTCCTTGACCTAGCTCTGTCCCAAGAACCCTGTGGCAGACCCTGGGGGTGCTGGGCCTGGGGATGCAGCCACCATTGTCACCGCACTGGTCCCTGGGACATTGTTTTCCTGAAGTACTCTCCTTACCATCTGGTTTTTCAACATCCTCTACAATTTTTGGTCTCCTATTTTCATATATGCTGGGGTACTGCTGGCAGTTTGCTCTCTTCCTCTGTAGATCAGCTAGGATTTTCTCCCATATGTACGGAGAAGTGGAATCTGCTCCCTCTTACCTCACTGCCATCTTCCTCCTCTGTGTCTTAGATTTTGATGCAGGATCTTAGCATGGGAAAATCCCTTCAGGGGTCTCTGCTACCTGAGCAGGAAGAATATTGTGCTGTACTTGCTAATGATTGATTCAAACTGCTACCAATGAACCAGATTTCTCAAGATGGTCAAAACTGGAGATGAAATCTCGGTCTGTGGCTATGATCCAGAAATGCAGGCCCAGTTGTCACTATGGAAGTCACCTGTT